CCCGCCACGCTTCGCACGCCGCACCCTGCCCGCACCATTAAGGATAATCTGCACTGCACAAGCACGGTAAGTTTTTATTTATATTTTCATTTCTATCAAATGTTTATTTCCGACTTTTTTTTAAAAAAAGAATGTATTGAAACAGCATCAGACTGAGTCAGACAATATTTGTTATAGAAAAGTCTGATTCGTATTTATTTCATATCGAGCGTGGCAACGGGCGCGTGAGAGCGCAAGAAAACAAGAGCAGACAAAATCAAACAAAAACGAACAACTTGAAACACTGTCAGACCGAGTCAGAAAATATTTCCCATAGAAAAATCCGATCGATACTCACACCAGAGCTGAATATCGAGCGAACAGGCCGTTGCCACCGGTCAAACAAACTTTCGGTCGAGCACCAATTCTCTATGGCGTTTAACATTACGAATCGATCGATATTGAGTCAGAAATGATCAGACTGAGTTACAACATCCCAACTATATACTACTTTTGTACACGTTGTAGCAAAACTAATATGCACAACTGTAATGCAGGGTTGCCACGTACACCAATAAATAAAAAAAAGTTGTTACCGATATTCTATTAAAAGAGATTAAAATTTGCAACTTTTCTTAGCATACTTTTTTCAGTTTACTATAGAAAGTCATTGAAACGAGTGTTTTTAATTTAAATATGAATAATTTGAAATGTAAGTTACGATTGACTAATTAAAGAGATAATAAATAAACAAAAACTAGTTCAGCTTCTACCACTTTTTTAATTTATAGTCACCTGTGGCATCCCTGTAATGAATGATGTTTGTAAACGGTGTAACAAAACTAGTAGTCACAACTGTAAGTAGTGATGAATTTGTACCTGGTGTTAGGAAACTAATAGTCACAACTGTAACGAGTAATGTTTGTACACGATGTAAAAGAAATAGTAGTCACAACTGTAAGGAGTGATGTTTGTGCACAATGTAACAAAACTAATAGTTACAACTCTAAGGAGTGCTGTTTGTACAGGGATTAACAACACAAATAGTTACAACTGTAAGGCCTAATATTTGTACACTGTATAACAAAACTTATTGTTACAAGTGTAAGGAGTGATGTTAGCACAAGGAGTAACAAAACTAAAACTATCACAACAGTAAGGAGTGATGTTTGTGCATGGTGTTACAAAACTAAAACTATCACAACCGTAAGGATTGATGTGTTTGCACACAGAGTAACATAACTCTAACTCTGATCTAACTTTAAATGAGAGTGAGTAAAATTTTAGCAGAATTAGTAGAAAAGTTCTTAAGAAATAGAAGAAACTTTTTAGAAATTTTTTTATTTTTTAGAAATTAATGAACCAGCTGGCTTTAGTCTATTTTCGTAGAAACTTATTTGGGTATCTTGTCAATTTCTAACGCAAAGCAGGTGATATATTACCCCAGGCACGCGAAGCCTATGTTAGTCTTGGTCCTATCACCTACAGACGGAGAAGATTTTTCAGAATTCTGAAAGTGGATACAAAAAGAGTTTACAAGCTTACGAAAAATGCAGCATCTCAGCATTTGCCTCCGAAAGCGACAATAACAGATTAAGCGCAGTTGAATAATAGTAAAACGCATTGCCAATGATATTTGTAAAATAATAATTTTGTAAAAGAAGGGGAAGGATTTAAAGACCATTTTCGGTATAAACATTCATAATTTCAATTAGTCAGTCTTGGAGGTAGTTATAACTGATTAATTAAAAAAATAAAAATGAAGTAAGTTTTTACTACTTCTTGTATTCTAAGCGCACTTGGTACCAATGTAATTTAATGGTGTTTCCTGATGAAATTTGATTTTTACTTTTTTGCTGGGTATTCCAATGAACATATTTCTTATAATGCAATCTGATATTAAGATTTATATTTGGTCAAATTCCAATAAAAATTTTAAAATGATAGCAGAGTTAGAAATGCCAACTGCTTCGGATTCAACAAAATATTTTAAGAAATGGTAGAGAACTAGAAACTAAAATTTGCAGATTTTCGGTTAATTTTTCTGACTTTTCAAAAGGCTCAACAAGGTTTAACTGTAACAAAATGGCGTATCACACAAGTCTTCGGATTATTTAGAAGAGATGGTGAGCAAAACCCTATTAATCGAATTTACAAAATCCATAATCATACATTAACAGACAATCACTCGAAAATATTTACCCGCTATCCGGGGAAAGTTGGTATCTCTCCTTATTCGGAAATCTCATCGAGTTCAAACCGTATCTTGTGAACTCTCATGGAACTTTGCAGTTTGGAACACCCAACAAAATTGTAAAAATATTGTTAACTTCCATCTGTTTATCCTACAATTGAATAATTTAAAATCGTATTATTTGCTGAAGTGTTATTCATAAAATCTTTTTTTTATTTTTGACAGGGCGAATAATCACCATGACCAGCGTCAACGGCTTCCTTGCTTACCCTAGTCTGAGCGTATACAGTGCCAGCAAATTTGCCCTGGAAGGACTAAACAACGCTCTCCGGGTTGAACTCTATGATCAGTATGGCATCAGGGTAATTATAGTGCAACCTGGTGATTATGCCAAACTGACATCCATCATGTCACGCCACGAGCAACATGCCAACGAAATGTGGGAAAACATGTCGCCGGAAGACCAAAACAGTTGTGGTGACTTTTTTCACAAGTACCATCGCCAAGCTATAAAAAAATCTGGTCTCACTAGCCCGATTTCTTTCGAAGGCTGCCATTTACTGCTGGACATGCAAGAAGCTGTATTAAGTGTGGATCCAAGGAACAAGTATTTATCTACTTCTTTTCACCTTAGGATGATTTACAGCTTTTTAGCTCTCTTGCCATCTTTCGTTATTGACTTCTTATTCAGTAAGATTACGAACAAAATCTTGAACTCTTGAATTGTCTGTTATGTAAGATGTTCTGAAAGCATATACACAGTATTTAGGCACCATTTTGACTTTTTTACACAGGTACCATCAGCAAGCAATAAAAAAAGTCTGGTCTCACTAGCCTAACTTTTTTTGAAGGCTGTCATTTACTAAGGGACATGCAAGAATCTGTATTAAGCATGGATCCCAGGGACACATATTTGTATACTGCTTTTCTCCTTAGGATGAAACCCTAGTGATTTAAGAGTCTCATCGACAAAACGATTATTGAAAAAAATTCAATTTTTTTCACATTAAATATTATCAATATAAATTATAGTCTTATTATTTGGTCAAAATGTTTACGGCTGCATATAAATTTAATTTTTGTTTTATATTGTTTGGGGTTTATTTAGAGTCATTAATCAATTAAAGTTCGATCATTTTAGGTTCCTAAGCCGGAAGAAATTCGGAACATCTAATGCAATGTGTTCTGTACTATTTATTGTAGGTGTGTTATTAACGAAATTATAAAATGCCCATTAAAAGATTTCATGTGACCTGACGATTAACAGAACCTATATATCTTTAGAGTTAACCAGATTTTTAATCATCACTTTGATTAACACTCGTCCCATTTTATCTCCCAAATTTTTTTCTTGCACTTTCAACTTTTCGATTTTTTTTAACCTTGAACCTAGATCTGACTTTTAATTATCTTTTTATTTTACTATTTGAACTTTTGAATTTGACTTAGCACTTTTTACCTTTAATTCATTGTCTAACGTGACATTTCATTTCACTGAGCCTTAAATAATTTTATAGTCCCTTTGTGATTTTTAAATTTTAATTTGATGCATAATCCTTACATCTGTATTTATATGCTATCGTTACCAACCTGATATTTTTTTTTATTGGATTTGTATCTTTCTCCGTATAACCTATACTAGGGAAATCGGAGTAATGCATAAAATATGGATATAGGCTGTGTTTTAAGTCTATATTTTTCCAAGGTCTTTTTTAATGAAATAAGATTCCTGCCCCCCCCCCCCCTGTGACTGTATTCATTGCTTCGGGAGGAAACAATTTGAGCAATTTACAACGTGCTTCCACATGCATCTTCACGCTACCACTCAGTTTTTTTGTTTTCTCTTTTTTAAATTTTAATATTTTGTGACTTTTAATGTGCCAAGAGTTCTTTACCTTATCTTTTGCTAGAATTCTAAAAATAAACATAGAGGCTGATTATTTTAAATTGCACCATGTTTGATATTTTGTCAGCGTAACCGAAACATTTTTGTGGTTAGAGAAGTAAAGCAGCTTAAAGAAAATAAAGTAAAAAAAAATATTGTAGATAGCTTTTAGATTGTACAGATTTAGATATTGGATTTGCTGCAACACTGTATTAATGAGTTAATCAGTTTTTTTGTTTTCTCTTTTTTAAATTTTAATATTTTGTGACTTTTAATGTGCCAAGAGTTCTTTACCTTATCTTTTGCTAGAATTCTAAAAATAAGCATTATAGCTGATTATTTTAAAATGGAACATGCATATTTTGGCAGCGTAATCGAAAAATTTTTATGGTTAGAGAAGTAAAGCAGCTTAAAGAAAATAAAGTAAAAAAATATTGTAGATATATTTTAGATAGTACAGATTTAGATATTGGATTTGCTGCAACACTGTATTAATGAGTTATATACAAAAGTAATGAATTTAAAATTTAGATGTAAGTTGTTTCTGTTCGAAATAGTTCTCAAAATGATACATAAATGGCAGCATAAAGTCACGTGATTACTAAATGTTTATTTTTGAGTGTATAATTATGTAGTTTAATTCTCTGTGTATTTATGTCAATAAAGTAGTATTTTTAAAACCAGCATAGTAATTCAGAAATGTTAGTTTCCCCGAGAAGCAATTCTTTTAAAGCAGGGAATATTAAGAGAAGAATAAAAGTATTTATTTTTTTGGAATCTGTCGGATCACTAGTGGGATGGACACTCAATCATCCGAGAAGAAGGAGAGGTATTGAACACCTCCAAGTTTCTTCAGGAAGTCAAACTCATTATATTTTTCATTCCGCTTTCCTCACTTGTGATTCGATTGATTTTGATACTATTTTTTCCCCTTTCTTGCTTAAATATTACTTTGCATTACTATCTCACTTGAATATTAAAAATATGATTTTGCATGAGAATTGATTTACATAAAGGCTTCATTTACAATTAGCATAGGTTTTGATAAATTTATACTAAGCCTGTAAAAAAAGGAAAATATTTTGTTCCTATTTATGAATAACACATGGAAAAATATTGAAAAAGAGAAACAAAATTGATAAATAAATGCACGTTTTAATAAAAGAGACATTGCTGATATCAGAATAACTTTTTATTCATAAATGCACAGTGCAATAGCAAAAAACTATTGGTTAGTTCATAACAATAAGTGAAGAATTTTCATCAAAGCCAGGTAAATATTAGTGCACTGATATGAATAGAGTCCAAGCATTTCATGGAATACGTCTAACTATTTTAATCTTTATCAGAATTTAAATTAACTATTGTTCAGTGAATTCAAAGCTTTTATATAATTAGTTATGCAGACATATGAAATTATGCTCATACCTTCTATTGATATATCTACCAGGAATACTGACTTTATAAGCTGATATTTAAGTTAATGAGCATCTAACATTTTTATCTGTTGAACTATGGATTGCCATTTATAGGCATCTTTAATTTCTATAGGGAACAGTAACGTTATTATTAACTCCATGAGATGTTACTCCTTCAGATCTTCATCACTCCACTCCATGACTACACTTCACTATTCCTAATTCCACTATTCCATGAGAGAGATTTTTTGTGTGAAATATATAGTGGATATTGCAGTAACGTCGAAATTGGATTATTGTTTGGTAGATTATTGTTTGGTGGGATTATTGTTTGGTAGTTATGAAGACATGATAAATTATGCTCATGCTTTCTATTGGATGTAGTTTATGAACTGATATTTAATTTATTGAGCATCTACTATTTTTGTCTGCTGAAATATAGGGAACAGTTACGTTATTAACTCCATGAGATGTTACTCCTTCAGATCTTCAACATTCGACTCCATGGCTACACTCCATATTCCAAATTTCACTATTCCATGAGAGACATTTTTTTCGAACTATATAGTGGATATTGCAGTAACGTCGAAATTGGACTATTGTTTGATTGATTATTGTTTGGTAGTTATGCAGACATGATAAATTATGCTCTTGCTTTCTATTGGATGTAGTTAATGAACTGATATTTAATTTATTGAGCATCTACTATTTTTGTCTGCTGAACTAGCCATTTTTTATAAATATTTTTCAGCTTCTATTGTTACTGTTAGGTTATCATCAACAACATGAAATATTATTCAGTACGATGTGCATGATCCAAACTCCATTACTCGATAAGAGATGTTTTTTATTCGAACTATTTATTTAATATTGCAGCAATATTATTATATGTTATTGTTTGGTGGATATAGTATTAGTTATGCAGACATAGTAAATTGCGCTCATGTCTTCTATTACTATATTTTTGTGATGAAGTTTATAAACTGATATTTAGGTGAATGAGCGTCTACTACTTTTGTCTGCTAAACTAGAGAGAACCATTTTTATTTAAATATTTTTTTAAAACTTCTATTGTATCTGCAATTTCAACTCCATGACATATTTTTTTGAACTATTTATTTGATATTGCTACAAACATTATTAGAGGTTGTTGTTTGTTACTATTGTCTGATTATTGGTATTCTTGCTGTAATCTGGGTAGTTATTATAACTCTTTTATGAAACTATTTTACCGAGATGCAGATCAAAACTTTTTATTTCTTGTTCAGAGGAGCTTTCTTTTAGGATGTTGATGGCTTTTAGGATATTAATGATGATAAGTGAGTTTCAGTATCGTTAGTTTACATCTTTTATTTCTATTGTATTGTATCCATCTTCATAAGAATTCTTTTTCAGAGGACTATTTAATTGATGTTGCAAAACACAGTTTTTTACTATTTTTTTTTGAAAATTTCTTACGTTACACCTAAAACTTTAATTCTGTTAATTTTGGTAATTTTCTTTTTCGTAAGAACTTTTTAATTTACAGTTGCTGTATTTTAAGAACTTTATTGCTATTACGTTAATTTTTAATAATGTTTTTTTTTCTTCAAAATAATGTTTAGTGGGCTACGCTGGTCTATTGCTTTAGTTTTTTTTTAACTTGTTGAAGAAAAGAATTTACGTTTTATTTTGTAAAAGGAACTGCTGCAACAGCTCTTGTCATTGATCACTTAATTATTATTATTTATACTTTACTTTTTTATTTTCTTAGCTATTATTATAGCTAATTCAATCAATATATAGCTATTATCTAGCTACTATATAATTATAGCTATTCAACATTATAACATTATGGCTAAAAATATAGCTATTTATTTTTGTTTATTTGCTTATTAATATAGCTATTTATAAGCATAGCTAATGAAGCATGAATGGTTTTGTAAATTCTTTTTGAAAAATTACAGCTAAACTCCACTAAACATTAAAAGCTATTTAATTAGGCGGTGATTAAAATTTTGAATAAATATTGGATGGAAAATGAAATGTAACATCAATTAAAAATTTTCGACCTATTAAGTGTTTCATAAATAAGAGCATTACCAGATATTTTGACTTGATTGTTTGCAGAATTTTGATTTTTGGAGTTGTAAGGAACTGAGTTAATTCTTCATTAATTTAAAAATAAGCATGCAATATCAATTAAAAATTTTCGTACTGTTGAGTAATGGGTGTGATCTTTGGTTTTGGGATTTTCAGATGGCAGATGGGTTTTGAAAATCTATATCTTTTGTTGTTGATGAGTCTGTGAAGTGTCTCTTGAAGTGTTTTTTCTCCAAAAATTTTTTTTTAGCCTTTCTTTTAATAATAACGTTACTGTTTTGAAAAAAACTTTTTTTTAAAAAATGTTTTAAATTTTCCATGAAATACTTGAACACTATTTTACAATTTATAACCAAATTATTGCAGCCAACAGAATAATCTTATCTTATTTTTCAACTTTGTTTTGTATCAGTGTTTTGCTGCTTTTCAATTTGTAGTCTGTAAAAAGAAAGTAATTAATAATTTATATTAAAAACTTTTTCGTAACAAATAAATAAAAAAATAATTAGTTCTTTTCCTTAGTTAATAATTAGTTTACTTTTTTTTAGAAACAAGGATTGATCAAAATAATGCAAACTATTTTATAGTAACAATATGCAAATAATTTTTCTTCGAGCAGCAAATATTTTGGAAGATTTGAC